CTTCAGAACAATTTTAATCCTTCAATGATTTCCATTATACGCATATCAAGTTTTCATGTATTGCCAGATTAAAACCTGAAATGATTATATCCACCATAAGAGACACGTGTCTCCATATAATCAATGTGAGGATATTTACTAATTTTCTTGTGTCACAAGTCGTCTTTATGTCTATCGACTTGAACTTTTTGCACAAGAACACATTTATACCTCCATTGGCTTTATACTTTCAGGTGTTGGGACTATCCGCCCAACTTCACATTTTTTCAAGTGAAGTCAATTTTTATTGCGTATTTTTCATTTGGCCAATCATTTATCGGTTCAAATTTCATGACAGATTTGAGCTCAAGATCCTCGTCAATATTAATAATATTGAACGCGACATTATGTTAACAATATCATCGATGATCACTCTACGTCGGTTCCATTATTACCTAATAAAAACATAACTTAGTGAGATATCTTTATCTCATTATTTTCAGGTACCTGAGCCTCTCACATGAGGTCTTACGAAGTGTTATGTCGTGGTGCTCATCTAGAGCACTTGCCTCCTTATTATGACCATCTTGAACATTTGCCCCTCTCCTTCTTCAAGGAGTTTTATCTTTGGAACCAATTGGTCTATTACGCTTCATGCGTGCCATAGACTCTGTCCCTGGACTTTATTCTATTTGGAACATTAGCAGTTGAAATATGACATTTAGCTTTGGGTCAGCAAATGCGTCGGACAATAATTTGTAAATGAATTATCACTTGAACTTCAAGTTCATATTTTCTTGTACGAGGATTTATATGTATTCATAATAATTCATTTGACGTATCACTTTCTCAGCTGCCCATTTTTCCCCCTAATGTTGGGATCACCAACACATTTCCCAACCTTCTTTGGGAACCCATGTCTTTGCATTATGGTGGCATAATTAAATCATATAGCACATCCATATTTCTATATAGAAATTATTTGGTTTCTGACCCTGAACCGATTGTGATAGGGAGAAATTTTCATAACTTGGCTAGATGCGTACAAGTGCTGTTGTATATTAAATAATACATCTCATACCAAAATTCATTTTTTTTTTTGGAGTTTTGTTCTCATAACCAATGATTTAGCTATAATTGGAGGCATACAATTTCTGCTAAACCAACTTGGATTTAAACCAGTATTATCAAGATAAATCATCACCATTTATATTCTGGAATTGTGCTCTAATAATTTGAGCAAGCAATCTTGCAAAAGCCAAACTGCAAGTTGATAACAAATGCACATGTGACCATAGAATAGATGCATCTATTAAAAATTATATATTAGTAAACGGTCCACATGGCAGGTGACTAGGCCCATATATTTATCACCTTTTATTCGTTCCATAAATCAAGGGATTCAATCCCAACCTTAACTGGTATATCATGAGAATAAGCAGCACAAGAGAATTCTTGAAGAATCTTCTATTCTTCAATATATGTCAATATAATTCTTAATTAATTTTTCGCATCATAATTGAACCGGGATGGTCAACCGGTTATGCCAACTAGTATTTATTTTAGTAAGCCTCTAGTTTACTTGTGGCATATGATTCCAGCATCATGCTTATATTTGTGTAGTACAAATAGAAAGAAAATCGGGTAATCTTTCATATTTACCCGGTATGATTATAGAAATATGAAGATATTCAATCTTCCTTTCATTTATAGTCTCAATAGGCCAATCACTTTGACTTACACATTTGAAATTCAAAAAGTTTCTTTTGAGACTTTACAATATCAATATCATGAATAATTTTAT